AATCTTGACTTTCTCGACAAAAGATGTAACTTTCAAAACTTGAAACACTCGTTTAAATTAATATTCCATGACAATAAACACACAATAAATTAGAGCGTTTCATCAAAATAAAATTGCGTGTGAATAGCTAGATAACGTTCGATTATAATTCGAAACTCAGTAGCCANATACATATATATATATATATATATACGTTTTAATTTATAGTTCACCGGTAACCATGGTGATGGCTACAGCATGTGGCCAGATTTATTATCTACCAATATAACGGATTTATTTGTATGATCTGAAGCATATAGATGTGCACTTGTAACTTTCTACATTAACTAAAAGACATTCGTGATTTATTGCTTGATTTCCGTGGTGTCAGAAAAGAGGTGCTAATGGGGTGGTCTCCCTAGGTGGCTCTATTTTCTATACACTGAGGGGCGGCATTCTCCGCCAAGTCATGGAAGGGGGCAATATCTCTCTTAACCCGCCCGGGGTGGGACAAAAACTAGCTGCGCCCCAGGTTCGATTTCTTTTAATCCCATCTTGCGAGTCCAGCATGTTGTCGCATGTATTATGAGCTTGGAAATTAAATGCTCACCTTTGATTGAACGCTCGTAACTTTTTAAACGAAAGAAGACAGACCCTTTCGGAGGTGAATGCTATGAAAACCCCAGGTCATGTTTGCAGACTTCAGTGGCTGTGTTCAAGGTGACAAGATCAGATTATTGAAATTTGGTTAAAAAAAAAAAAGAGAGAGAGAAAAAAAACCCGTGATCTATTAATGACATCTCTTACATATTTGTTTTTGTTTTCTGTCACAAGGTGACAAGATCAGATTATTGAAATTTGGTTAAAAAAAAAAAAAAGAGAGAGAGAAAAAAAACCCGTGATCTATTAATGACATCTCTTACATATTTGTTTTTGTTTTCTGTCTGTTAGTTATAAAAGAAAACATTGAATGACAGAACGAGATCTCAATCAAAGCAATGCATCAATGAAACGTGTTTCGGAGACTATATTCAGCTAAACGATAGCTAGAAACATGAAGCAATTGATACACAATTGTGAAAGTTGCTTTAAAATATAAAGGATTCTTAAAAGAAAAGTCTGTGACATTAATTCCTAGTTAAACTGTACAATCTAAGAAATGAGCGTGTTTTTTTTTATTTGAATATAAAATAGTACTTAATTAAAACGTAAAATTTTTGTCCTGATTTTACAAGATTTTTGTGCATTTTTCCTTTTAGACTAAACAACTGTCGGTCGGTCGGTCGGTCTGTCTGTATGTATGCTTGTAGATCACATACTTCTTTTAAAACCCGACATCACGTGTAAGATTCTTGGTCATCTCTTTTGGTTGCACAATGAATCATTTCAAAATTATTTATATTTTTAAAATTATCAACCACCTCATATGTCTTGGTAGATATGGTTTACATTGTTCTGACTCGGTGAAGCTGAGGCGCTCGTCGACACTGACGAAGATGCTGATGACGTTACCGGTTCTTCTTGCATCGTAGTAGACGAGCAGTCCTTATCGTAAATGGCAAGAGCGCATGCGCTGTCTTTGCAAAAAAAATAAAATATTTGCACTCCATTCAATCATTCCAGTTACTGCTTTCTACGCAGATACTGCGATCATCGTATGACCGATACTCATTACTCTCTAGATCCAAACATCATACGGGCAGTGTGCACTTTGCGAAGAACATTCCTGTGGATAATTACCACAGTAGCCATTTCCTTCAGTCTGTGAGTAATTGTTTTTTGAAATGTTGCAAGGAAAATGCATACTATGACTTTTCATTGATTAATAAATGTCGTATTAAAATAATAGCCACACCAAAAAAAAAAAAAAAAAAAAAAAAAAAAAAATTTTTTAAAATGTTGCAAGGAAAATGAATACTATGACTTTTCATTGATTAAAAAAAGTCGTATTAAAATAAAAGCCACACCAAAAAAAAAAAAAAAAAAGAAATAATAAGCTTAAGACAAAAAAATACTCTCAAAAATAATTGTCTACACTTTCATTGAGCGTAATTGTTGTAAATATCCAATTATTTATTTTTAATTTTGTAAAAAATCACAGACCAAATGTCATGGAGTATGTTTTACCATCGACAACTGATGTACCAGGGCTTAACAAGACTATTTTCTCATTAAAATTGTACAGTTTGCCTTTTGGACTAAACGTCTGTCTTTCGGTCGGTCTGTCTGTCTATTGGTTTCTCTGTAGGTCTATCGTTCTATCGGTCTGCCTGTCGGTCTGTCTGTCTTTCGGTCCGTATGTCAGTCTATCGGTTGGTCGTTGTATCTATCATCTATCTATCTAAAACAATCTTAACACATCTCTATTTTGAAAATTAAATGTTCACTTGTGTAAAATGATTGGCTTTGGATATTCATTGGACATATCGCCTTGAAATGAATTGTCTTAAATGGGATTTTTGCCTTAAAAATGAACTATCTCAAATAGGATTTTCGCACTTACAATGGATCATCATCCTAAATGGTACTATCGCCCTAAAATTGATCATTGCCTAAAAGGGATTTTTCGCCTAAAAATGGATCGTCTTAAATGGGACTTTTGCCTTAAAATGAATCATCGCTTAAATGGGATTATCGTCCCAATAGGCATTGTGGCCTTTCTTCACCATTTATGATCAAACTAGGTGAGACATGCTTGCTGCATCAAATTTTAAATTGTCTCTTAGCCTGACTTACGTTATTTTTAACCATGTTGGCTTGAAAATCCCCCCCCCCCCAAAAAAAAAGGATTTAATATATGGAAACTATGTATCTATGCAGTTGACTTGGGTCGACTAAGGTTTCTAGATTATCTGAAAATAGGCCTATAATATGAGAACCCGTGTCGCTTTCTTTTTAATACTTATTTCCTTGTGCTTCAAAAAAAAATTAGCACAAAAATAAAATAAAAAGTTATAATGATATACCTATATATCTGGGCATTCTAAAATGCACCTCAAATCTACGATTTAATCGGTGTTGCAGTAGCCTCTATCATCATCCATATGAAACATTTTTTTTACAAATTGTTTTAATAAATTACATTCCATGATTTACAATTGTGAGTTATTTGACGATGGGTAAAGATATTATTAACTTAATTAACTGCGTGTTTTTACTAATAAAAAGATTAATAGCTCCAAGCTATCCCTTTCATTAAGATTGATTTTTTTAATTAATGAATGAATGTATGCATTATTATTGTTTCATGCCAACATAATTAAATAACATACATGCATTTTTGGGTTTTCTTTTATTACCATCCATTCTATTTTTTTTCTTTTTAAAACTTAACTGTCTGTGTGTAGAATTCGATAAGAAAATGTTATTGCCTTTTTAATTGTCATATGCATTCATATTACAGATTTACACAATAAATAAAATCAATGCATGAAGCAAATCAATGATTTTAATTGTATTCATTTAAGAATATTTTTTTACAGAAAAAACATAATTAAATATGTCAATCATTGAAATAAAAGTAAACCAGGCATTGTCTTTCCTTATTGGTCTGTTAAATTTGTATGTTATTATTTTTGTTATTACATGTGTTATTAGTTGTTATTATTATATTTTTTTTAAATTAGGCTATATTGTCTGTTGTTTTTATATTTGTTAGTTTGTTGTCTTTCAGTTCGTTTCCAAAATCTTGATAAAAACATTAACAATGAACATGGAGCCAGAATGATCAATGTTCGTGGGTCCCCAAAATATGGAGGAAATATAGATGACATGCATCTTATCATACACACTGATGAAGTGTATGCAGCCACCTCTGAAAAGGGTAAAAGCCTATAAATTATAAATATTTTGTACACGTCTGAACATGTTCTCAGATCTTAACTCTGACCTTATTAATTTATTTTTTAAATACTAATAATTACTATTAATAAAAATACAATCCTCTTACAGTTAGTAACTCCCCCTCCCCAATAACCACGGAATTGAACACAAAAATCAGTTGGTCAAAGACGCAGCTACCCACATCATATCCATAACCGGTAATTTTAAAAACATTCAATTCAATCAATAATATGGCAGAGGACTCGGCTCTCATCACCCACGTAAAAAAAAAACCAACTATTTTACGTTAGGCTGGTCAAATTCTTATTCATCAAAATCCATTTAATTAAACACAACTACAGACAACACATCTAAATAGCATTAAAACCAAGACCTGCACAAGAATTTAAAACAAAAACTAAAAGAATGCTTCCACCTGAAGACACCTGGTTAGTGCTACGTTATTATTGTTTAATAATTATTATTTTTTTAAAGTCAGATCTTTTTGTGTGTTATTCCCTAATTACTAATACCAAGTAATCCAGCCAAATACAGAGAAATCAGTACAAAACATTTCATCGTCTGATCAATGTCAAAAGTAGGCCCCCCTTTTATTAACTTAAAAGACAAACAAGAAATAGGACCTTTCCTAGGAGGTAGCTCAAGGATTTGTTCTGACAAGGCCGAGGGAAACACCGAGAGGTTGAGGGCACTAAGGGAAGTGACACCAACCATGGTGACGCCGCTGTTGTGAAATATACAAAGGGTAGAGGGGGAAAAAAGCGTACGTTTAGGCAAAAAAGCCTTCGACGGCAAAGAAACACAGAGACAAACACTCTTAGCTTGTTGAAAAGTTATGTGGTTGGCAGGAAAATCCTCACCCATATTTTTGGTTGTGGAAATGTATATATATATTTTTTAAAGTTTAAATTATAATGTAACATTTTAAATATACTGGGTACCGGTATATGTGTGGGTGTGTATATTTATTTATATATATATATATATATATATATATATATATATATATATTATGTCACACTAAGGTGCGGTTAGAACTTTTGATAAATCTAACACAGAGAGCTTGAAATTTGTAAAAACATTAGTCTTCTCTCTTTTTTTTTATGTGAATGTATATATATATTTTTTATAGTTTATATTATAATGTAACATTTTAAATATACTGTGTACCGGTATATGTGTGTGTGTGTATATATATTTATATATATATATATATATATATATATATATATATATATATATATTATGCCACCCTAAGGTGCGGTTAGGACTTTTGATAAATCCAACACAGAGAACTTGAACTTTGAAAAATCATTAGTCTGCTCTTAATTTTTTTATGTGCCGCATTGCATAATCTGACTTTTCATTAGTTATTTATTTAGGCACTTTTATATAGCGCTTACCATAAAGCTCTAAGTGCTTTACAATTATTAAAAACATGTAAACTAAATAAAATAAAAACGAGACACTAGGATAGTAACTACTATACTATAGAAACAATGAAAATGGCTATAAAACGAGGACACTTTGACACGTTTTACCACGTAATATATGAATACGACACATTCAACACACGAACTACAGTAATTAATTTCAATTACTGTTCATAGACATTGATAGTTCATTATAAATTATACTAAGCTGGGACAGAGTCCTCTTTAAAATCGCGGGGTTAATGTAAAAAAATTGAACATTTATTATGAAGATTACAATAATATAATTTCTTCAAACTGCCCTGGTCCTAATATCCCCCTTTACATAATCTAAGTCATAGATCAACCTGGATTATACTACACTGCTTAAAATGTACTGAGTTCAAACTGGTTGAATTAAGATGGCTAAATATTATTATTGTAAATTAATTTTTTTTTAAATTACAAATGATGGGTCTCTGTGTTGAAATGTATTGGAAAGTTTAGAAGTCGTTAAAAATAACAGATCTTCACCAAGCAATACTTTTCAACAGCAAGTAGACAGAGGTGCATAATGTTTTCTAATTGTTCTGGGTGACACCAGTTCATGACACCTAGTTCTTTATAAAAAAAAGATATTATGAAAACAAGTAAAATGAATAATGGTTAAAAAAAAATTTTTTAAAAGCCCATTAAAACTGCAAAGATAATACAACAGTAAATAACTTAATAAAAAAAAAAATTCCCAAAAGTGTCACTAAAATAATTAATAAGTCTTACTTAAATCAACATTTAATATTATTAATAAGCAATAATCATGTCTTATGATCATCATGCAATGTTAATCAGTTCATTGCCTTAAGCAAAGGTTTTAATACAAGAAATACACTAGACTAAGGATTTTACAGAAACAGTACTGGTATTAAAATTTAATGAAACTTTTTTTCTGGCTCGAATGTCCAAAGCACCCTTGTTAATATAAAGCAAATTCTTATAAGGTATTTTTTCCTGCTTGATATTTTAGGTCCTGTAATAAAATATAATTTAACTACCAGTGTCCTCTCTTATGGTTATGTTAAAGTTTTTTAAAAATGTTTCTTTGTCTGCATAAAGATTCTCTTTACCTATACAACTAAAGTTTTTCCTTTGATATTTAGATCCACTGTGGAAGTGATATTGTTGCTGCAGTAAATCACTGACACCCAGGATGTAAACAAAAGCGCCACTACTGCCTGGGCAAGTGCTTGTTGTATAGGTGTACTTCGTGTATTCATGAACCTGATCAGAGCTCACAACTTTTCTTTTCCTCCAATATCCAAAGGAAACATGTTTCGGAGCGCCGTGAGGATGTGCCACAATGACGGCCAATTTGTCTACCTTTCTACAACTGGAGTATGTTATGTTTACTTTAGCCATTAACTCTGTACAACGGGCAATGTAACTCTCTAGTTTGTTCAGTAGATATTCGTCACAAGAGGCACACTCCACCTCAATCCATCCTTGATCAGTTCTTATCTTTCCTGGTTTATTTACTTTCATGCCCTCCAGTGTAGTAAAAGCATAGGTTTCGCCGTCATAGAACAATTGGAACAAAGATTGCCTAGCCTCGATATCATCAAAAACTATGTCAGATGCTGTTTTGATTTTTATTTTACCCCATTCTTTACTTCTATTACTAATAGATTTCGATTCACATTTTAGACACTGACAATTTAAGCTGTCAACTTCTTTATACCTTTGAACATTAGTAACCATTCCAGTTCCACAAAATGAAGACCCCGAGTAAACTTTAACAGAATTGGGTCTCCCCGGACTCATGTATGTAACTGTAACTTTCACAGTAAGGTTCCCTATGGCCTTAATCAGGAGCAGGAGATCAGGGTTACAGAAATTCCTATCTAAATTAATGTCCATATTTTCCATTGTCAATTCATTTATTGGTACAAAATCTCTGTGACTGGATTTCTTCACGCAGATGTAACTCTCTAGGTAGCTTGAAGTTTCATGGGTCTCTGCTATTTTTTTTGTTAAATAAAAATAATTATTAATATACATGACATACATGGACCATCTTACTTTATGCGCTTGTTTTATTACACAAAGTTACACTGTATTGAAACCAGCTTAAATTTTTACAAAGGGGTTACATTTAGTTTTGTCTAAGAATAAGAAATACGTTTTGGTGTACTCCTAATACTAGTACTAGCAGTAGTGAAGGCCAGAAACCTTATCCAGGTTTTCGTGAATCATTATACACGTTTCTAAAATGAGGAAGTCCATTGGAAATGGAGATTGCTACAGGGGTAATGCACCACTAACTCCTATTGCAGGTGCGGCTCTTTAAATAAAAGGAAAGGTATTATTATTACTTTTTAAAAACTAACCGTTAACAGCATATCCCAAAATATTTTATTTGCAAATATATGCAATATAATTTATAAATATGGCTCCTCAAACAGTGAATCACAAAGTGCAACAAATGGGAAAGTGTTTCCCATATGCTTCATATTAATTAACATCTCTTATGTTTTTTAGACAGAGACACAAGCAAATGGGAAGGCATAGCTGATGAATGTTCCAGCTGTTTTTGTATGTCATAGGCTACAAACTTCAAATGATTTAAATGTTAAAATAAATTCAAAAAAGAAAAGTGTACACACACTTAGCCACGAGTAATTTTAATCTGTTGTATAAACATGGACGAGTCAGAGATTCCACCACTGTATTACTAGCGGTAACAGTAAATTTTAAATGCAATTTAATAGCCTAAATTTAAACTTCTTTGAAAAAATATTAGGAGAATCCTTTGAAAATTGAATTTATTTAATTGTGTTGCATTATGTATAATTAAATAACTTTTTTAAACAATATGCTTTTCTTGAACTGATACAAATATTATATTCCTTTAAATTAGTGTTTATAAATCAGGGGTCTCAAACTCAAATAGCCGGGGGCCGCAGGAGGTAGAGTCTGAGGGAGACTGGGCCGCATCAAGTAAAAAAAGAGCGATTACAAATTCAATAAAGTACAACTGGTACAATCCTGCGAACCTTTATTAATAACAAAATAAAATATTAAGAACTAGGCTTCTCTTTCTTCCTCCTACTCTTTGTTGCCAGGGACCTGATAGCGTTTCTGGCAGCTTAGTAACATTTGGCTTGAGTGAGGAAGAAACTGAGAACCTCAGTATAGCTTGACGATGCCCACCATAAGTTTGGCCCTGAATAGTGGGGAAAAGAGCTTTTCACACAAGATAGATACTCCCAAAAAAGGGACATGATCCGCTTCAGTAACCTTGAAATCTCAGTGAAGGTGAAGGACAATGCTCTCATAAATTATCCATGCTTGTCTGTTTTTCCATTCCTCTCACGAACTTAGAATTGCACTGGAGATCAATTAGCTCCATTTGAAGTGCAAGTGGTGGGTGGGGTGCATCGTCCACATTAAAGGAGAAAGGCAAGGTGACAAGCTAAAAAGATGCTCTGTGTGTTTGGAAGTCTAAAAACATTTTATCAAATTCTTCCTGTAGCTTTGCAGTGGCATCAGTATACTCACTGCTGAATGGTGTTTCCGAATCTATGAGTACTTTTCATGTTGGGAAATGGCAGAGGTTTCTCTAAGAACCATAACACAAGTTTTGTGCACAATGCTCTGACATAGTCATAGGCAACACAGGCAAGCTGCCACTGGCCTTGTAACTTCTTTTGAGTACATTCATCTCCTGTGTAATGTCAACAAGAAAAGCCAAGTCCATGAGCCATTTGGGATCACTTAGTACAGGAAAAACCACACTTCTCCGTGAAGGCTTAAAATGCTGAAATGTGTTCAGACAGTAGGCTGGAGTGGGCAATATTTATGATTGATTGATGCGAAGGAAGAGGCTATTGTAGGGAGAATGAATTTTGATTTTTTTATCGTAGAAAAGGCCTTTTTGACAAACTTTATTTTTAAATGGAACCAAGCTGATACTCGTTAACAGTAGGGGCAATTTTGATACAGATTCTTTGATACTGCGTCCGATTTACAAAATTATTGTTGTGCATTACGCACTAACTGACTTTAAAATTTTTATCAAAACCGCACTTTATCCATGTTCGTCTCATTAAATGCTTTTTTTTTCTTCAAAAAGAAACTTTAAGTTCGGTTTTAAATGGTTTTTACCATTATAAGCAACTTCCAAATTTAGACAAAAATGAACAAATCAGAATTAAACTAGTCGGTGAAATTCGACTGAAACCGTCGCAGAGGGTCACATTATAGATATGATAATGGTAAAAACTCACGGGCCGCATTACACTAAACTTTGCTGTCATGTAGCAGGCCGCAAAATATCGTCTTGTGGGACGTAAATGGCCACAAGTTTGAGACCCCTGATATAAATAATCAAAGAACATCAAAAGATTGATCCTTTTGTATAAAGTTTTAAAGAAAGATGAACAAAGCCAGGGCATTACTATAAAATTGTATCTGATGTTGCAAATGGCAAACAGAAAATGACCCACCAATCAATTAAGATGTGTTTAATGCCCCACAAACAGAGTGAATTCAGGTTATTTATGGCACTAGGCCCACAATACCAAATTTTGTCTGTGACAGATGCCAGAAACACTGACTTAAGGTATGTACCAAATATGCATCCCTGAATTATCCCTTCCCCTCGATTTTGCTGTGGAGACTTCAGAGCCCTCAATTTCTGTTGCCCCCTCCCCCCGGTCACCATGACAGACTATATAGGCCCTTTATTATCTATGGAAAAAAAGCACTGCTGAAATGAATTTAGTCTATGTAGGCCTCATTTTGTTGCTGATTATAACAACTTTAATATAAACATATGAATAAATTAACCTTTGATGTGAAACTACATTTTAATAAACCCTTTAAAACATATATTTTTAAAGGTAACTAATTTAACCATTTTTATTGGAAATTAATACAACCTCTCAAACAGGGGGCCTGGATAACAGTCTAAATCATAATTAAAAATGTATAATCTTTCCATATAAAATTAAAATGAGGTGTCTCAGATTTTTTAAAAATAAATATTAATGACATTTGTTCTTTCCTTTAATTAAATCAATATAAAAAAGAAGCTTATAACAATCCTTTTATAATTACCTAAGATTTGAAAATCCTGAGTCATTTTTCGTTGTCTAACAGGATGGTCAGACACTGAAATAAAATAAAGAGAGAGGGGAAAATAATGTACAGATATTGAGATTTTCATTAGTTTCGCGATTTAAAAAAAAATGGGCCATTTATAAACAAGCTTTAAAAGGATTTTTAGAATCATAATCTGTTGTATCTTCATAACTGAAGGCTGCATTCATAGACATTATTCAATTAAAAAAATTTATTTGTCGTTTATTACTATAGTATATTAGATGCTGATACCCTTAGTTTGTCCACTGTATGTTTGTCATCTTTCTTGTAATTTTATGTAATTTTATGCACAGTAGTTGTCATATTGTTTATTTAGTTTTTCTTTTATGGCCAAAAGGAAATATCACAAAAATGTGTATTTTGTTTTAATATATTTTTTGACATAAACAGGTAAATCATAATTTATCAATTTTAAAAGAATTTTTTTTTTAAATATCTGAATCAATTTAAGTCATTAATCGAGAATTCATGTTTGGTATGAACAATATATTTAACAATTTGAATACTTTCAAGGAGTAACAGACTTGTTAAAACACTTTTAGGTGCCCCATTTTTATAGCATCAGTCAGTACATTGGTAACTACCTTCATCGCACAAGTTTCAAATATATTATCAATAGCCTACCTGTCAGCAAGTGGATAAACGTTACCCAAATTTATAATGTAAACAGTGATAATTGATATTTTGATTTGTGAATGAGATTTAGAATGGTCAGGTAGCATCTTATCTTATCTTATGCTATGAAAAACACATTTAATTTTAATTTTTTGTTTAATAAATATAATGATGCCTTTTGATAAATGGACAATAATTATTATTTTTAAAATAGTGGTTCCACATTTATGTCTCTTTAACAGCTTCCTTTTCTAGGTGGTATATATGAATGAATGCAATGATATTAAGGGGGGAAAGAATGCGATCAGGAAATATGTGAAACAGGGCATTGGAAATGTGTCATTCCTCTTGCTGTCCAATAAGATAAGATAAGATTCTTTTATTGATCCAAATAAATGGAAATATTTTTTACAGCTAAGTGTTTTATTTTAATTTTTTATAGTTGTGTTAACCATTGTTTGTTCGACTGAAGAAGGATTCTTGCTGACATATTTGTTTTCTGTTGCATCCTTTTTTCAGATCTTCCCATAATTTGTTTCACATATTTCCTTAAGGGCAATGAAGATGGCCACAACAGAAATTATAACAAAAATCTACTTAATCATTTATAAATTAATCATACAGATAAAAAAAAAAAATTCTCTAAAGACAACAAATGAAGGACTGCATTCAAGCTGTTTAAAACAAATAGTAGAACAAGGTATGTGGATTTTTGAATCAAAAGACAGGATGATAAGATAAGTTTTCAACTAATTTCTATTTCTTGTTGTATTTTCATTTGTCCTGTCTGTTGAGGAAGGCTCTTTGTTTAAGAAATAGAGGTAGATTTAAAAGAAACCATAGTGTTTCTAGCTTGATATTTTATAAACTTAATTTTTTTAAATGTGTGGTAAACAATTATTGATCTTTTAATAACCTTTAGCATTTTTGTTTGAATCAAGTGCATATAAGGCATATAACAAAAGGATATAATTTTTTTCTACAACTTAATTATTATTAAATGCAAGATTGCTATTAAAAGGATCTCTTCAATCATTACCAGGAGATCAAAAAATGGCATGCATAGCCACTTATGGTGGATTTAAAGTTGTCACTAGGCTAAGTATTACTGTTGTGATATCTAGTATGTAAATAACAAAGCAAAAATATAACAATTAATAAGAAACATTGAGGTAATTTTTTTAGAATATTAAATATATTTAAATATAATGGAATTCACAGATTTTTAGATGACAGTTGGCTATATTAGAGGTATTAGAGATTATCAGAATAATTATTACAGAATTTGTGCATAAATTTATGTACTTTCTGCTGACTCTGCCATATACATAATATATGGCAATTATCAGCCATCAGTAGAGGATTACATCTAGTGACTCTTTACAATCACTTCATTATACTTCATAGTATTTCACCCAGTACATTGCTATATGCTGACATCTGGAACACCATGTTGAGGGGGGGTGGGGGGGGGTGTAAAGCTACATGTGTACAAGTGTGAACAAGGGGAGTTGGAAAATATTTGTATATTATGCGGACACTCATAAGCAACCCCTAACTATTATTTTTGTATCTTAAGGTCTATTTATAGTTACTCTTCATAAAATGATTTAATTACATTATCCTTGTGAGCTTACAACAGTCAGTCTCATTTATCAGACTAAATATATGCATAATAAAGCAATGTGTACAAAAGAAAACATTTATGGTTTAAATAGAGTCACGAACAAGAATTCTAGTCTCTAAGCTAAATTTAATTTCTTTTACCTTCTGAATTCGTCTCTAAGTCAATCACATCATCCAAAATAGTAGACTTTTTTTGCTTTCCCAGATGCAGAACTCTCTGAAGGTAGATGCATAAAGTAGAGTAAAATAATTGTGCCCTGATATTTGTTTATTTTAGACTCATGGTCTGTCCCAATTTTGTCCAATATCAAATAATAATTTATAAATAATTGATTAAATAACCCTCTTAAAAAAAAATAAATACAAAATTAAAGTTGGCTTTCTAATTTGAAATTTGAATTACAAAATGTTATTGAGAAATGTTTAATAAGAAATCTAACAGGTTTATTGTTCTTAAATTTTTTTCTTGCATTTGTCCTTTTTTTTCCTTTCACCTCAAGTATCAATTAAAATGTATATAAAAAGAAATCATGCATCAAAATTATACCCATCAAAATAAGCAAATACAGTGACAAAAGGTGTTTAATGTAATATAGTATTTGAAATTCAATTGTTTTTAGATGATCAAATTTTACATAGCCTATATTTCTTACTAACATGTCATGCAACTCACTGATAACCCCAGTCAAACTAAAAAAAATTACAAAAAAAAAACCAAAATAAAAAAACAAACAAAAAAACACAATAATACTTCCCTTACATTTCGAGTATCCTTGTATGTATGCTCTAGATTTCATTATCTTCCCCGACACCCCCCATCTATATGTTTAGAACTTTAAAAAAACTAATAACTAAAATTTGCACTCGTAATTTTATGTCTCAGATCAAGATATACAACAACAAAAATTCTCCCCATCTCCATTTCATTTTAGGCTGTTGTCATGTAGCTCAGCATGCACAGCTTTAAATATTAGCTTTTCTATTTTTGGGATTTAATTTTTTTGTTGCAGCCTTGCTTTGCACTTAATGTATATGAAAGAAATAATGTCATATTTTTTTTAGGCTTTTCTAGAGATCATGAATGTAAGCAATTTAGAATACATGTCTTTTGTTGTAGTAAAATTATAAATAAATATTCAAGTCTTTGTTCCGTTGAATTTGGTAAAAATGTGAGGCACATTTCAGTTTTCACAAACATATGAAAACTTTGTATGGTGTACTCTATGTAATAATTTAACTTCCGGCTTGCAACAAATAAGAGCACAAAAAGGAAGGAAAGCTGATATCAATTAGAAGAAATAATCAAATTTGTGGAAATCGCACTAAAGACTTAAGCCAAAATGAGAATGTATGTTTACAGAAAATATAATTCATTTAGTGAGGTGATAAGATGAAACTAAACAGCTCCTTATACCTACATCATACCCAAATAGCTTCATCATCTTAGAACTATGGGTAAAACATGAGGAAGTGTCTACCTTGCATGAGAAGGCGAACCTGGTGCACCATGAAAAAGAGATATTTACATGGTCCAGTGCATGGAAAAGCAGATGAAGCAAACTTTACCTGGAATGCATGAAGAGCGTAGTGAGACTTAAAACACACTGCTGTTCATTCAATGCATCCTTGTTTTTTCCAGTCATCTTGACTTAAAGTCACCACTGGATCAAAATTGGCAAGGTCAAGAGTCATACTGGCAAATTGCACAAATTGGCGTGGCAGACTCACTGTTGGAGCACAATGGTCAAGGAATAAGTGCACCGCTCTTCCCAAAGAAAGCGCATTGCAAGGAAAAGCAGACTCAAATCCTACTGGGACCCAAAACAATGTGTACCCCATGTGCAGGAAAGATTTCCAGGCACAAATAGGACTGGAAGGCTACCTATGTACTCACTGTATAATATAGCCTTGGTCCCTTTCGCATACAAAGGACAAACAACAAACACTAAGATATAAATTATGCTCACCTTTTGAATCTGCTTTATCAATATTTTTCTGTTTAAAAGAGTTAAACAAGTTTAAATATTTGTAGGCTTTGTAATCATTTTCACTCACATTCTTCTTATGAAATAATAGTAACAGCACAGAACAGACATAAGCAATTAATATCTTATATAAATGCTTATTTGAAGGTATATTGAAATAATAATAAATATCAATTGACCAAAAAAAATTTTTTTTAAATGACAGATCCCATGTCTTACCTTTGCTTGAAAATCCTGTGCATAGCTATCACAATACAGAACACAACTAATAAAAATAAACTGAGTACCGGTATTACCGGTAGCAGTGAATAATCTGGATGAAAACAATGGAACAGTTGTATAATGAAAATTGTAATTTAAATAAATTAACATTGTTTAAATTAATAAATTTTTAAAATTTGACTGGTAACAAATGTTTATAATTAAGATTCATAACTTTTTTTTAAATTTAGGAAATATTTTTTTTGCACACGTTCAGGCAAATGTGTTACATGGCGTAGTAGTCCTGTAGGCCTATAATTAAAAAAATATGCGTTCATCCCAAAATCTTACCAGGCCCAATGTTGATTCGGCACTGGATGATGTCTTTCTTTCCAGCTAAACTACATGGAGCAAATTTTATTGTCACAAAAAGAACATCTATATCATCTTCAGCGTAAGTGTAAACGAGGTGGTCCTTCCCTCGTATAGGTTTATGTAAATCACTTGCTGACAGTTCAATTAAACATGGTGATGCTTGACTTTTACATACAAAAAGTATGTGTATGTTGGAGGAAGTTTTCAAAACAGTATCACAACTGTTATTATCACTGATTTTTTCAATTCCATTGATCCAGATACGGCCAAAAGTATTTTTAGCATCTGGAAAAAAAATGCCACTGTTACCTAAAGCAATTTAGTGTATCTTAAAAATTTTGAATATGGATTTGCAGGACTTCTTTATGGATACTATTTTAAATATTTTAAGGACTATTTTAGGTTTCTAAATTATCCTATAGTTTCCATTTTTTATGAATTTAAAAGAAAAGTATATATATATTTTCAATGTTCATCTATAAATAATAAAACTAACTGCATATTAGTTTCTTGTTAAGATTTGTCTATTAAAAATGAACAGCAATTTTTTATGCAATTTCTATGTACTCTTAGAGCATAATTGAACATTTTCATTGTAATACACTTTACATTACCAAATATTAGATGTTGTCTTTGGTTGTATTTTTGCTAAATATTTCAGTTGATTAGATAATGTGTACATAAATTTTCACTATTCCTAATTGTCTTTTAATTTGTGTATAATTTGGTTTGTTTCAAAGAGCTTCCTTTACTATACTTATACTGTCTATACTTTACAAAGTGATCATTTATATTCTGTAACGCATGGAGTGTTACAATTTATGTATCACAGATAATTTAATGATGTGAAAAAACACTCCTGCCAATGCTTCAATTTCATTATGAATATAAAACTCAAAACAAGATAAAAACATTCAATTCACCATATATTTCAGGAAAGATTTGGACTTCACTATGTAGTTTTGATTTGCTTGACGTTTCTAGTGATCCACGAATCATCGCTACACTATAATCAATGTATGCAGGTATCTCCAAGACAATTTCAAAAACATGTGTGCCAATTTGTCTACATTGAATTGATTCTGTTGTCAAGCACCCAGATTGAACATTTATCACTTGAAACTAAAACATATAGAAAAATGAGAATCATTCAAATTATCCTGCCCCACTACCCATTGGGTGCAATAATTTTATAAACAATTTAAATACAGGTGCAAGGTGTCTGTAAGGCAGCAGGGTTGCCAATTCAAAAAAATAAAATTTATGGAAAAATATTTACAATCTGAAGATTATTTATGGACAGGTAAAATTTTAAAATGAACTTGAGAATCTATTTAAAAAAATATTCACGTATACCTATGATTATGTTATTATTCTAATTCATTTGACTTTGAAGCTTCAGCCTATTGGATAACATTATTTTATTGTATTGCATTCTTGCGACAGTTGGATTCTCCTGATTTTGATCATACAAGTTTAAAGCAAGTAATGAGAAATTACTAAAGTTGTGATTTCCAGTTATGTTTGTTCCATATTTCTTTACAATGTCTCATTCTTTACGGACATCCTAAAGTTTTCACTGACATATACAGACAAGTCATTTAAGTTCAATTTTTTATGGAAGTCCATAAATTTATGGACATTTGACAACCCTGCCTTTAGACACATGTTGAAAATGAAAATACTACAGTATTGTAAAATAAGAAAAGTTATCTACCTAGCAAAAAGGATGTTTATTGCAATAAGCGTTTAAGTAAGAAGTAATTTATTAATTTTTGAGTTTGAATCAGAGGCGCATAATATTTGAGCAGGGCCGGCCCGATGGTTGCTAGCGCCCTATGCAAGCTAAACTTTGGCGCCCCTGTTAAGTATAATCATTAACGGAAAAACAAGTTATTTGGTAATGAGTTTATTACCTATTTTGTTTTTTTTAAACAAACAATAAACAATAATATTGTTTTTGTTAACTTGTATTTGGATAGTATAAACAACTAGTCTACCGATGAGATTTGTTTATTGAACTTTCTATTTTGCTTCAATGGCGCCCACATGCAATGCTTTTCCAATTTTGGAAGATCATTGATGGTGCCCCAAGCACACTTAGGGAATTTAAATATTTACTGGGCACCCCAGGCGTCCCTGTGGCCACAGCACCCTGTGCGAGGGCACAGGTCACACACCCTACAGGCCAGTGTTGGTTTGAGGTTTCTTTAGATAGCCTATCCAAAATTGGGACCTGTGTTGCACCCAAGGGAGGGTTATTAATTTGTATTAGGAATTTATCTTCGTAACACATTATAAATTTATTTATTTATTTAGGCATTTTTATATAGCACTTACCATAAAGCTCTAAGCGCTTTACAATTATTAAAAACATGTAAACTAAGTAAACTAAAAATGAGACACTAGGATAGTAACTACTTTACTATAGAAACAATGAAAATGGCTATAAAACATATTTCAGAAAGTAAATACTTTTTAAAAAACTAGATTTTATTTTTCTCTTTTCAAAAAAGAGTATAATTTATAATAAGTAAGATATCTTATTTGAACAGTTCTTTCGACTGGAAATTTGTTAAAGTAAAAATGTGTATCAATTTTTGTTTGGGGAGATAATTTTAAAAAAATAAAAACATTTGTAAAATATAATTAACTAAATCAATATAACCTGATAAATTAAGTTGTGTATTGGCTTTGGGTACACTTACTACTTTGAAACTCTGGTCTTCTTTCCTTTTGATTTCAAACAATGCATATGTTATATTTAAATTTTCTGAATAATCCACTAGACTTTTAAACACAACTGTATCCATTTCACTGATCAGCCCACTTGTACAATGTGTTTCGCTGTCTTCTTGTCTGTATTGAAGTTTTATCTTCTGTCCTTGGACACGTACTATAAGTATAGAAAATTGATTATTTTTAGACTTTATATAGCCATTATAGCCATAATTTTATTATAAATTTTTATCACAAAATAGTACTGTAGTATTGGGATTACTTGGCTACGTAATTTATTCAGTGGGCCTATATCAAAATCATGATCAGTGGTTTGCGGAGAGGGCAGAACTTTTTTCTTTATATTTATATGGAGGGGACCGCATTTTTGGCAAACTGCAGAGTTTTTTCATAGAATTGGGCTACAATAATCTTGACCCGCCCTGGTTGGCACTAAACTTCAAAACTTAGTCACTGATCATAACTAAGAGTAAGACACCAACCATTTATTATAATTATAATGATAAATAAATGTTAAAATGATAAAAGTAAAAGCTATTAAAAACAATACTATACTATACATTGAAATTACATTTACAATATGGTTATTACAAGTAGACTAAGTAGTTAAAAAATGTCCTGCCTTAACTTGGCCTTGCATTATTAATGATTAAGTCTGAATAAAGTTAAAGTAAGAGGAGTAGTAAGAGTAAGAGTGGTGGCGGTGGCAGTGCCAGCACTCAGGCAGACCGAGGCAAACGTGTTAACCCTCTGGAGACGTAAAGGCCGATCTATCGGCCCGAGGTACACTAGCGAGAAAGACATCAAGTCCGAGCCGTCGGCCTGATAGATCGAGCCTCACAATTGGCTGGCTTGGCGTTGTACCAGCGAATCAAAATTATTCTTACATATTTCTGCAGATCCCGGCATTGTAATGGCGGCGTTCGTTGAAGGTGAACTCAATATATTAGTGTGCAGGAATTTTTTTGTGTGTGTATAGTTACATCATGAAATTCGAACATGTCTGACAGTGACTCTGATCAAACTGTGCTTAGTGATTTATATATTCTTGCAGTGAATCTGACACTGAAAATTATGAAAACAACCAAATAAAGACTTTCAAATTGAGGGTAATGCTAATGTTGTGAACTTTTGGTTTAGTATTACTAGTATTAGGGGTTCTCAAATGGACAGAGATGACCCCTCTGAATTTTTAGACAACATAAGTCCTATAAATAAGGCATAAGCACCACATTTTAGTACTCTATGCTATTTTTTACACTAAATATCATTCAAAGAGAGACCAAGAGATATGCAGATAACTTTCTCAGTAACATCCAGCTTAAGAGAAGGTCCCTAGGTCATAAACGGGGGCCTGTTACAGTGTGTCTGTAACAACTGAAAAATAGGGGGTGGGGGTGGAAAAGGAGTAGAACCATGTGCCAGAGGTGTCTGAAGGGCCTTCATGGGCCTTTTTCCCCCAAAAAACAAGTATTAGGACTTATTCAGGCTTCATCCATAAAAATATTAACACAATTGATACAAGTAAGTCATGTTTATTCTAGGTGTAACAAAAAATTACATGCATAAATTATGCAAATAAGGGTAGCTCATTTGCATACATTTTGATATTTCAGTTTGATTTATAAAGATTGTATTAGTTCATTCAATTTCCTACAAGAGAATATATAGTTTTGCATATATTAAGAGAATAGTTTATTTTGTATAAATTTTTTTGCAATGCGAGTGTCGAGCTTGTAAAAAGTGCTCCGTCTTTATGGCACATACACCCAGAAAAGGCTCCGTCTCCAGAGGGTTAAATACGAAACTAGAATTTTAAAAAAAATAGCACTCACTCATAAAACAACAAATTATGATTGATAAAATTATCAATACTAATTCAAATTGGAAGCGTCTCAGTCTCATCATTTTACAAACATCTATTACTTTTGTCTCCTCCGCCTCCACTCCTAGTCCTAGGCCTAGGCCTTGGCTGTTAATGTTAACTATTAACTGTTACTATTACTATTGCTAGTATTAGTATTAAATTTTAAGGCTTAAGGATGTCTCCTCATTGAAAAATTACAAAAAGCTTTTAAGAATATGGAATATAGATAAGATAGGCCTTCTACTACTGGGTTTGTTTTTTCTGTTACGCAATTTTAACTGTCCCTAATCATACTCTAATGCAAATAATATTAAATAGAGTATTCCTCCAAAATGGCGAATGTTGACAAAAAATTGCTAATAATGGGAAAATCCGAAATTACAAACACTACTGACTTAACTTAACTGACTGTTTTAAATAGAACTAAAGTAGTGATAACAATGCTTGTCCACGCACCGTTCTGCGCATGTCCTAAAATGTCGAAAAAAACGTGTTCTACAATATGGCGTACTGCTACACGGTATCTTTGGAAAATTGAATACTACGTCACCTTTGTTTATTAAATAATGCTTTCCTGATCAGTGACGTATCAGTTTTTGGGTTTCGGTGATATATTGATTTATGCCACTAGATTTTTTGTGTATCCCGGACAGTATTATAATATTATTATAATGTTTCGGTTAGTAGGCCTATATAAATTATAAATCGCATAAATACTTTTTTACTAGTTAAGCAACCAAAATAAGGTGTAGTGCTACCCAATCTACATTCATTTTAAGAGGTTTTTTTTCTTCAATTTTTTAGTTATTATTTTGACTTTGTCTATAAAAAGTTATGCATCCCACCATGGGGGGGGGGGGGGGGGTATGAAATTTTCCCCATTTTTTTGTTTTAATCAGGAAGCCGGAAATGGCTGCTATCACTGTCAATTAAGAAGTGATTCGTTATTGTTAAATTCTTAAACATCTGAATAATTATAAGACGTTTTAAATGAATAATTTTAATATAAGATTATAAACAAACTTGAATAGTTTATGTAGCAACCTAGGGTTACTTTTAATTTTAAGTTTTATTTATTGCGTTAAAAATTGTGTGTACAGTACCGGTACACAGTTTATCGTTCTTCATTATTGAATCAATATTTAATAGTTTTAAAATAGTAATATCAATAGGCTAATACCCGCTAATAATCGTTTTTCTCTTATTAGTTATTTCAGAGAATATTACTAAAATTAGGCCTACATATCAATATCAGTTATAATTATAAACAACTGTTATTATAATCCTATAATTGTCTATTTAGGCCTAAGCTTAATTTTTTTCTTAATCTAATTCTATTACTATATAATATAATTCCATGCATTCAATGTTATTTATATAAAAAGACAACTTACCTTTTTCTAAATATAATAATTGATGTAAAATTTAACACAAGCATAATAAAATTAGACTAGTTAAAATTCAATAAACATGTAATTTATTTCGTTTTTTCCTATATAAATAATGTTTTTCCCAATTTTTCTGTTCACTTTTTTCAGAACATACCCTCGAATAAATATTTAAAAAAATAAAAGTCTTGATGTTATATATACGTTTTGTTGTTTATTGTATTGTATATTGCATTTAGAATGTCTCCTAAAAATTTGGTAGCATTATCTTTTAAAATCAAAAAGTTTTGGGCAAAATAAGGCAGACATTTGGAAAGTGGGTCACACGTTTCTTCAGTTGAATACTAAGATAAAGAAGAGGGTTTTTAAAAATCACCAAAAAATCATAACTCCACTTCTATAAAAGATAGAAGGATGAAATTGTTTTTGTTATAAACGATCGGACAATATTTACATTTTGTGTCAAAGTACCTACTATGAACTAATCTATCCGCCACTTCCCCTTTTTAACAATTGTCAAACAATTTTCCAAACCCGCTCCCACCTTATTTTGTGTGAGATAATTAATACATTATCAAATTATTCCCATAACATCGGGTCATATACTCTAGTTTGTGATGAGAATGAACAAGACGAAAGAAAAAGTGAGAATACTTGTCCACTCACCGTTCGGCGCATGTCCTAAAATGTCGAAAAAAACGTGTTCTACAATATGGCGTACGGCTACACGGTATCCTTGGAAAATTGAATACTACGTCACCTTTGTTTATTAAATAATGCTTTCCTCATCAGTGACGTATCAGTTTTTGTGTTCCGGTGATATATTGATTTATGCTACGATATTTTTTTGTGTATCACGGACAGTATTATTATCTTTAACAAAATCACCAAGAAAAAATCATAACTCCACTTCTACAAAAGATAGAAAGATGAAATTGTTGTTGTAAAGGGCTATAGTTCATGGCAATCGGACAATATTTAGATTTTGTGTCAAAGTACCTAAGTTGACGTCAACAATCATGTTTTCGCTATCAAAATTTTTTATCCAAAAAAATTGACTGATTATTTATTATTTAAAAAAAAAAATAATTAGTGTAAATTAAAATAGTTATATAGTTTTTATTTATATTAAATTTTAACTTATTGATTAACAAGCTAAAGATGCAATAATTCGCCTAATATTAAATAAACATGTTTTTCCTACAATTTTTTGTTATTAAAATAGATCAGCACATAGTAAAATGTACTTTTATGTTTATTTAAATTATAATTCTTTTTTTTTTTTTTTTTTGGGNATTTTTGGGGGGGGGGGGGGGGGGGGGGGGTTAAAAATTGCTTAAATTTGTTGGCGTAATTAATGGATGCCCCCATCGGATTAATAATGGTATGTGTTTTGAAATCTTTTCTGACTGATGTTGCGAATTCTCAACTTCTAACAATCCACTTACGTATATAATTGAAACAGATTTTGATGTTTACTAATTATGTACTATAACTATATAGGCATAACTATAATTGCAACCGAGAACGAAAGCTCTGGAAAACAAGAGAAAAAGACTAATTTTTGTATTCCGTGTTAGTCATGAGTGAGTGACGTGCAATGCACAAAAAACAACGAGGGCCAACATGTTTATTTACTTTAAAAGTTACCAATGAAGGCGACATTAGCAAAAAAGATAATTATCTCAGGACTAGTGCACATATATTCGTCTCTCACAAACTAAGCAGCAAAAAACGGTTACTGACATTTGTGAAAATAACGTTTGGCTTCAAGACATCACATCAGTCAATCTCGTCCGATGTGTTGGATTCTTTTTTTTAAAAATTGGGGAGGTGGGGTCTAAATATTTTGTTACGCACTGGCTTCTATTGGGAGAAATGAATCTCCTATTTTAAATTTATGGCTCGTTCAAACATTGCCTAACAAAGGACGATACCATATAGAAATACAATAACAAAAGTACGACACCCTAAACAGTACCAATTACAATTAATAAGATTGAATTTAGTAATCATATTTTAAATGCTGAATGGTTAGATAAGGATGATGTTGACTCGTCCGGTATATTAGTTCCGCAAAATGAAAATGATAAATCA